ATAACCTTTACCTTAAAGCCTGTTGTTCGAGGTCTTTGTTGTCCTAATTTTCCAAGGTTTAGACGACGCCTTCTAAGCTTGCCTGGGGCTTAATATACAGCCCCAAATAATGAAATCCTATATCAATCCTCCCACTCTGCATAGAAGCTCCTGCTGCCTCTTCAGGGAAAAGGGGCACTGACCGCTCCTAACTGCTTCCTGCTGAGACTGGGCGGCGACATGGGAGAGGCAGCTCGAGTTCCCGCAGAGGAGATTGATCCAGGATTTCTCCACTGTGAAACTGCCTAAGCTAAGGTCCTGTAGAAGAAAGGTTAGTGAAAACAAACTTGTTTAAGGTGCTGGTAAAGTTTCCTGCTCGTGTCGAGGCTTAATCCAGCGGGCTGGTAGCCACTGCTTTTCTTGATATTCTGTAATAATACGGGCAAAGCCTCGACCCCAATGCAGCACATAACCTGGCTTCCACTCTGTCATATCTGGTTTTTTATAAAAGATAGGTTGTGGTACTGGAGAGGATGGTGCATGAATGAGAGATGTCCAACGGTGTTCTGCAGCTGTCTTTTCATCATTGCTGAGATTGAGAAAATTAAGAGTGAAAAGAGCTTTAGTGAGCAGAAACCTAGGACCATTATTGAAGGGGGAGGAAATGAACTGACCCCTTCTTTTAAAGCAGTAGCCAGTAAATTAGCCTTATAGGATTCTGTTCCTATGTCAGCACATGCCCGTATATACTCCTCTAAGGGAGTGTTTTGTGCTCTGGAAGGTCGCAGGGCCTTTTGACACTCCGAGTTGGAATTTTCAAATGCTAAAGTTTGAAAAAGCATGTCTCTCAGCTCTGGCTGGGCAACTGCAGTTTTTAGTCGGGCTAGAAAGTCAGTATAAGGTTCGTTTCCCGACTGCATTATTTTAATGAAAGATTTAGAGACATCTCCAGGCGCCTGAACCTTTTCCCAGGCCCTAAGATAGCACAGTCTTGTCTGGACTACGGCTAGGTCATTGTATTGAAGCTGATTGGGAATCCCCAGCCACTGCCCAGACCCAGTGAGTTGTTCAGATGTTATTGGGATGCCTCTCTGTTGGTTCTGGCGACTCATTAGGTCAGCCTCCTCCTTCCACCAGGTTTTAAACTGTAAATACCGTCCAGATTCAAGAACAGTTCTGGCTATCATATCCCAGTCATAGGGAATGAGCCGCTGTTCCTGTGCAAGCCCCTGCAACAGACCTCTGGAAAATGGGGACTGCATACCGTATTGTGCTACGGCCTGTTTCAAATCTTTAAGAACTGAAAAGGTGATCATATGGTGGTCAAAACGCTGGCCCCCTTGAGGGTGTTGCAGATCAGGAGGAGTATCAGTGACGGTAACCGGAAAAAGCCCAAAAGTGTTTTCCCAAAGTCACCAGTGTCACGCCCTTCTAATGCAGCCTTCATAACAGAAGTCACAGGCGGTTCATTTACATAGGGAGGTGCTGAGGGCAAAACGGGGTGCTCTGAGTTAGCATTTCTGACAGTGAGACTATTTATCTGATCTCCCAATCATTTAATTTGTTCAGCCATAGTGGTCATAGTGGTGATTACTTGCTCATTCATATCATATGCTCTCGCGTCCCAATTTTTCTTAGGTCCAGTTTCCCACTGAACCTCACTATCCTCGCTTTCAGATACTGATTGAACATCACCTTCCTCCTCAGTTTCTACTTCCCGCGACTTCCCAAACAGAAAGTTACCCATGTCTTTGCTTAGTTTATCAGACACTTTACTTATTCTGAGTGCGGTTTCTTAATTTCTAAATTGGCCAAAGGTCCCACTTTCCCTGAGCGGAGTTTCCCTTTGGACTTCCTTCCACTGTCTACCAAAGGCCTCACCTACATCCGGGTGTTGTCTCCTTTGGTCTGGGTCCCTGGTGTCCTGTTGTGTCCTGCTATATCCTGTCGACTTATGCCAAAATGTTGCGACCCATTGGGCTCCTGTGGCCCTGGTCTCCGTTAGTGCAGGAAGGAGTCAGGCGAGAAGCAGATTAGAAGCACAAGCTTGTGGAAGTAGTACTAGCCCTTACTTTCCGGTAGCCCCGAGCACCCTCTGCACCAGCCTTTTATTGAAAGGGAATGATACAGGTGAGGGGAATAATTAACAATGACTACGGGCTGAGGGCACGGGCTCTTCTTCCACAAGGAACTCCTGTGGATGAATGGCCCGAGGTCCACACCTCAGCTGCAGATCATCTTGCTCGGATGTCATCTGGCTCTTGGCGTCTCCTACAGAAATGTTTAATAAATATAGCTATCATCAATTTGGGTTTTCATTTAAAGTGGTGTAATTTTAAAAGAGTTACCAGAAAAGTCCAAGAGACTACAGAAATTAAAAATTAAAATAGCTATTGATTTTGCATGCTTGGATTGATGTTTAGATTCAGAACTTATATATAGCAAATCATATGTGGATCAAATTGAGGTATAGAATGACAACACTTCACATACATAAAAGGAAACTTGTATGTCTCATTCAAGTAATGACAGTGTAGCCGCCATTGAATTACGTAGGAAAATGTTCACGGGCAATAATAATGTACAGTAGTGATCAGTGATTATCAGAGAATCTGGATACGTGTATCAGAATTAGCTTAAAAACATTAAAAACCATATATGTTCTCTTGCCACCATCTACATCCTAAAATTATGTTATTTAGAAACCTAGATTTCCAGACTTGGGCATGGAAGAGGTGGGAATGTGTGATTCTAGGACTTTTCAGGGTACTGTAAAGTGCTGGTGCATATAGGACCTTCAAAATCACAACTCCTCAAATTCAATTTGAGTTCATTCTTAGACTTCTGAAATCACTGAAATGATACTGTCTAGAACACTTAGTATACTGGGATCATAATGGACTTCAGTTATTAGATACTTGAATAAAATTTAAGTGATGGGTAAACACGGATGAATTCTTTGTTCAGTCAATACTCATTAAATATAAGGGAAAGGAGACCAACAGACCTGACCAGACCAGTCTACCACATGTCTGATTTGTAGGATACTAAAAAGTCCAGCTTCCACAAATCTTTACCAATCTGATGCTGTGCCTAGAATCTCACCTTCAGAGAGTCCTTCTGTGGCTTAAAATATAGTCATCTACATATTCAACAAGGGATTAATATCCAGAGTATACAAGGAACTCAAGCAATTACTTCAATAGGAAAACACTAAATACATTAATTTAAAAATGGGCAAATGATCAGAGCAGACATTTCCCAAAAGAAGTCTTACAGATGGCCAACAAGTGTGTGAAGAAACATTATCACTAATCAGGGAAATGCAAATCAAAACTACACTGAGATACCTTCTCATGCCAGTTAATGGCTATTACCAAAAAGACAATGGATGCTGGAGGATGCAGAGAAAGGGGAACAAACATGCCGCGTACAAATGTCCCCGGGTGGTGGGAATGTAAATTAGGATGGACGTTATGGAAAACAATGTGGAAGTTTCTCAAAGACTGACAAACTGAACTACTGTAGGACCCAGCAATGGCACTACTGGGTGCACATCCAAAGGAATGGAAATCAGTCTGTTGAAGAGGTATCTGCACTGTTGTATCGATTGCAGCACTATTCGTAATAATCAAGTGTCCATCAACAGATGAGTAGATAAATAAAACATGGCATAAATACACAGTGGGATACTACTCAGCCATGAGATCAACACCATATGTTCTCATAATATGGAAGCTACAAATGTTGATATAAAGTAGGCAGTAAGGTAATGGTTACTAGAGGCAAGAGAGAGTAGGGAGCGATAGAGGATGCTTAATATACAAATCTACAGATACATAGCAGAAGTAAATGAAGTCTAGTGCTCTATAGCACTGTAGGGTGAATAATGTCAACATAACTTATTGCATATTTTCAAATACCCAGGAAAGAGGATTTTGAAGGTTCTCAACAAAACGAAATGATAAATGTTTGAGGTGATGGATATGCTAATCATTCTGATCAGATCATCGCACATTATGTACATCTTTCAAAATAGCATGCTGAACCCCAAATAGTACAGATAGGACCTTGAAAATCACTCCAACTCCTAGGTATATACTCAGTTCCATTGCTGGACTATTCTATCAATTAAAAACATCAATTATTATATCAATTTTTAAAAGGTATGAGATTAAAAAATAAAACTTTTTTAGAGAAGTGAAAAAATATAGTCAGCTCCAGAAATTGGCTCTTTTTAATGCTGATATCACAGGAATTAGTGACACACAGAATTGGTTTGTTTGTTTGTTTGTTTGTTTAGATAGAATCTCATTACGTTGCCCTGGGTAGAGTGCTGTGACATCACAGCTCACAGCAACCTTCAACTCTTGGGCTTAAGTGATTCTCTTGCCTCCGACTCCCAAGTAGCTGGGACCACAGGCACCCACCACAACGCTCAGCTATTTTGTTGTTGTTGTTGTCGTTGTTTACCAGGTCCGGGCTGAGTTCGGTGTATGTGGCTGGTGTCCTAACCCCTGAGCAATGGGCACCGAGCCAATGCATTGAGTTTTATCAGTGACTACGCAGTATAGCTAGCTTATTGCTCATAAAAATTGCTGCTTCACCAATATCTGTCTGAAACAAGTTGTGGGTAAATCCGGATTTCAGTAGGAGAGAGTGAAGAGCAGGTGGAAGTGCCCTACTGACTACTTGAGAGGACAGGCCCTTCAGGCACTAACTTAAACCAGAAGTTCTAGCACTTGAATGAGAATTAAAGAATCACCTGGATAGCTTGCTAAAATAGAGATTCCTGGTCATCTTAGAGATTCTGATTTTCAGCAGGTGTGGACCACAAGTTTGCATTTCTAACTGCTGGCTGTAGGCAAGCCTTGGAGTAGCAATGCTTTGGACAATACATCTCCAAGCCGCATATGCAACTCTACAGAGCACCTGACACCCAGCATATGCTTGAGTTGTGGGTGTCTCATGACACACTGCAAAAGTGAGCCAATATCTTAATGTTTTTTCCCCTAAGTTCAAATCAGACAGGTATGGTGCCCATGTCATAATAAGGTTTGAGGGAGGAACATCTCACACATGCACATGAACGCCCAGTCATGCTTATGAACCACAAAATAGTATTTTCATTTTGCAAAAAATATTATCCAGGAAATCACCCCACTTCATCTCTCAGGATGTCTCCCTTATCTTAGTAAGCTTGGCCACACAGGAAGATAGAGCATTTGTATTGCTTGCTCGTCTGCTAAATTATCAGGAAGATAACAAAGAAATTCACTGGACCTCAGAATCATTTAGATCATGTTTCCTGGCTGTGGTGGGTTTTCTTGTTTGAAATTCACAACTTACTTAAGGACAGCCAGTGTTAGCAATGATACTGCTTTAGTTATTGCAGACTTTGTGTTGGCAAAATCCTTTCAAAACTTTGATAGAATTATTTTAAGAACTTAGAAATATATTGAAAAAAACATCCTAGGCAACTTGGGAAAGCTTCTTAAAGTTCTTATCTCTTCAGAACAATGCTTGTTCCATTCTTAAATTAAAGGATAAAGATGGGGGCTAAATACAGATTTTAAGGTCAAATAAGTTAGAGTGAATGAAAATTTCAATTAATCATTGCAACAGTTTAAAATCCAAAACTGTTACCCAGATTTTGGTTTTAACTAGTGGTCACCTCTTTTATTTTAATTCCCTCTTCTTCAACGTCTTTGACTGTATTATTATGAGAAAATGTGATTACAGTTTTGACTGTCATATGGCAGTCAGTGTTTGAGAATAATCCTTTCGGTTTGAGGATTACCAAAATTTATTTTGTCTCAAAGATTAAACGTGTTAAATACTATGTTTAAAAATATTTGTTAAAACATGAAAATATGGAATTTTGTTCATTTTTAAAGTCAGTTTTACTCCTTTCATTATTACAGCTATTATATTTGAGTTTTACTGTTGTGTAATTTATAAAATATTTCTTAGCAGGCATGAATTTAATAACATGAGCTTTTCTCCTTGGAGATTTGTGAGAGCTCTAATAAATACACAGTATTCTATGCCACCACTGGTTGTTACAATTGGAAATAGCTCAGCGACCTTGGTTTTACAACAACATAGAAACTTGTACTACCTAAAAGCTACAATAATAGGATTCACAAAACGTTGCTTGTTAGAGGCTGGTCTACTTAGCAATGCTACATGCATTCTGAGCGGATCTATCCAAAGTGCATTTCTTTTCCTTCTGTGCTATAGAAACCTCCAGATCATCTGCTACAGTGGATGGATTTCATAGATAACTTTCCATGTTCAACGTTATATGCTGTGTGTCACCAAAAAAAAAAAAAAAAAAAAAAACCAATTTCAAAACCCTTTCCTTTGAACTGTGTTATAGCCAGGCTTCTTCCCTGATGACAGTCCCTTCACTCTGTAATTATGGCTCTTCCTCATGAGTGTGACCATGTGATTATATATCTTCCCTGCCTGGACTTCTGAATCGCAAGAGCACAAGGACCAAGCCGCCTTATTGAAGATTTCTCATACTCATATGTAACAAGTATTATTTCCTTAGAGAATGTGTATTAATAACTACTTCGTGCCTCAGTCTTCCACATTTCTTCCTCTGTTTCAAATAAAGGAAAAGTGATTGCTCAGGAACCTCCAAACTGCTATGTTCTGTCCGTTAAAATGTGGCCGCTTTCAGCAGTTGGAAGGCCGAGGCAGGTGGATTGCCTGAACTCACAGTTTCGAAACCAGTCTGAGCCAGAGCGAGATCTCCTCTCTGAAAAAATAGCTGGGCATTGTGGCGGGCACCTGCAGTCCTACCTACGTGGGAGCCTGAGGCAAGTGAATCGAGTAAGCCCAGGAGTTTGAGGTTGCTGTGAGCTATGACGCTACAGCATTCTACCAAGGGTGACAATGTGAGACTCTGTCTCAAAAAAAAAAAAAAAAAAGTAGCAGCTTTGCCTTTCTCTGACTCACTCCCCAGCAGAGCCCTGCCAACCCACAAGCTGCAGCTGCTGCTGCCCCAGACCTCCCACCTCTGGGCCTGGGGCGCCTTAACTTCCCAAAGCTGCCTCCGTTAAGGAGGTGGGAGCTGTCAAACGCCAGCAACTGTCTCCTCCATGTTCTGAAACCACCGTACTTTTCTGCTTCCATTCCCTGTGAACCCAGCAGCTTCTCTGCAGCTGTGGACTGTTGGGACGCTGTGTTTGTCTCATCCTAGACTACAAGTAGGCTCCTGGGAAAAAAGGTTGTCATTTTTCTATATTTAGTGTCTGACCTGATATAGGACACATTTTTATGCCCTTCATACATTCTTATTGACAAAACAGTTGAGGAATATTTTTCTACTTCTGTGCCAGGAACTTGGGGCTTTCAGTTTTATTTCTTCTCCCGGGAAACCCCCGAGCCTGTCACCAAAGGGGCTACCTGGACGCACCGTGTCCACTGCTTCTGAAGTTGTTTTCTGAGTTGTTCCTTACATTCTTAAGCCAACCCAGCCTAAGGATTCTTATCCCTCTCCCTCTTGTGTCCTATCTCCCCATGTCTGGATTCTCTGCCCAATTAGCCAGGTGTCTCTCACTTCTTAACATAATTTCCTGTGGGTGAGGGGAAGAGGATTTTTAATTTGTATCTTAAAATGTGACATCAAGGAAATATATAGAAGCAAATGCTTTATATCAAATTTATTTCCACATTTTGTGTTGATGCTATTTCTTTGAGGTTTTAGATATAAATTATATTGGGTTTTATGAGTTTAAAGTAAAAAAAAAAAAGTTAACCAAGTCTTACATTCATACTTTCTTAGGAGATTTGTACAGTTTCAAATCTGTACAGTTTTAATTTGCACAGTTTTAATAGGACAGCTTTGTTTTAGATCTATTGTTTTTTTTGAGACAGAGTCTCACTTTGTTAACCTTGGTAGAGTGCGGTGGTGTCACAGCTCACAGCAACCTCAAACTCTTGGGCTCAAGCCATTCTATTGCTTCAGCTTCCCAGGTAGCTGGAACTAAAGGTGCCTGCCACCACACCCAGCTATATTTTAGAGATAGGGTCTCACTTTTGCTCAGGCTGGTCTGGAACTCCTAAGCTCAGACAATCCACGCACCTTGGCCTCCCAGAGTGCCAGTATTACAGGCATGAGCCACCATGCCTGGTCCTGTTTGGGATCTTTAGAACATTTCCCCCCTCCCCGTTTTCATCTAATTATCTCATTCCTTTCTTCTTATGATATATTTTGTACTATATAATCCACTTAATTAAATTTTTCATTTTATGTTCTGTGAAGAAGAAGAGTGATTTGATAGTTACCTCCAGGCTTTTAGCAAGATTTTTTTTCTAGTTTATGAGATGTAGACAAAAGTCAATGAGGTGAAACTATTGATAGTAAGACTTGGTATGTGTGAGTGTGACAGTTGGCAGCATGGGCCCCCACCCCACGCTCTGGGTTTAACTTTGGGCAAACTGCTGAACTCTCTGTGGTTTACATTTTTCATCTGTAAATGCAAACAGCAAAAGTACTTATTTCATAGGATTGCTGTAAGAATTGAATGAGAGTTTAAAAAAAATAAGAACAAAATCTCAAACAGCTTATTAAAGTCTTTATTGTCAAAAAAGGAATACTGTTTTTAGGACAATCGGACTGTCTAGTTCTTAATCTCATGATAACTGAAACTGTTATACCTCATCACAGCTGGCTTATTTTTTTCTTTGGCATAAGCATTTCCAACCACAGATCAACTTAAGAAAAAAAAGGAAACTACAAAAAATGGAAGATGAAAGCAGTCAGGTAATCACTCATGAACAAGCAGAAGCAGCACGCCTCTGTTGAATCCTAGGACACTTTCTTGCTTGTGAACCTGCTTAATATTTGGCAAATGTTTGAAGAAATCTGTCAATCATGATCAAATCCTAAATGTTTAGCCCTTTTGAGAACAGGGCCATATAGGTCATATAATGAACCTGTCCCTGGGTCTCAAGTACGCTGCTTTTATTTTCCTGCTAGTTCTAAGTTTATCACTACTAGTTTTATAACTTTGCTCTCAATAGTTGACATCATGCCTTCAGAACTTAGTTCTAGGAATTGGCAGCAGCAAGAATAAGGCACCAACACTCTTCCTGTATTTTGCTCCATACTTTACGTTCTGCATAAGGGTACCCTTTAATATGTAGGTTCATCGTTTACAACAGATAGTTCATAAAAGTACATTAGTTCCCTAATGTGTATTTTTTTATGGATTAGTTTTGAGAAATAATTTGAATAAACCAAGGTTTAAAAGGTAGGGTAGCTACACTTTTTTTTTGAGACAGAGTCTGTCTTGGTCACCCTTGGCAGAGTGCTGTGGCATTTTAGCTCACAGCAATCTCAAACTCTTGGGTTCAAGTGATCCTCTTGCTTCATCCTCCCAGGTAGCTGGGACTATAGGCGCTGCCTCAACACCTGGCTATTTTTCAGAGCCGGGAGTCTTGCTCTGGCTCAGGTTGGTTTTGAACTCCTGACCTTAGGCAATTCACCTGCCTCAGCCTCCTAAGTGCTGGGATTACAGACGTGAGGCATTTCCCTCAGCTGGTAGCTATACTTTAAAGTACTTCATTTAAAATGCTATTCATTCTTAAATATATAATACATTTTTTTCTACCTTTAGTGAAAATTTTTTCCCTAAGAATGTCTCTTATTTTCTTAAGGTAGCCACATTTCTAATTAACATAGATATTCTTTACATCTTGGTTCCCTTGATTAAAACATACTCATGCAAAACTCCTTTCAGTCAAATTGAAACAATTACTTTACTGTATGTGGCCTCTACCCCTGTAAAAAGGGGAGTTTATATATCTTTGCTGAGGGGCAAGGTGATAGTGGGCTTTCTTTCTTTCTTTCCTTCTTTCCTTCTTTCTTTCTTTCTTTCTTTCTTCCTTTTTCCTTCCTTCCTTCCTTCCTTCCTTCCTTCCTTCCTTCCTTCCTTCCTTCCTGTCTTTCTATTGCACAGGCGGTCTTAGAGGCCTCCTGAGACTTGGCAAAGCGACAAAACAAGGGCAAGTATTGATTATCCACATTAAGGACAGCAGCCCTCTCAGGACCCCACCAGGAGCTCTTGTTAGAAGGTCATTCTTTAGCCCCTCTAGCAGGGATCC